GGCTCCTCTGTCCATGGAATTTTCCAGGCAAGAAAACTGGAGCAGATTGCCGTTTCCTTCTCCAGGAGATCTTCCCAATCTAGGGATCAAACCTACGTCTCTCGCTTTTCCTGCATTAAGCAGGAGGAGTCTTTACCACTGCACCTCTTGGGAAGCCCCAGGATATACTCTGCATATAAGTTAAATATTCAGGGTGACAGTATACAGCTTGTCTTACTCTTTTCCCACATTTGAACCAGTCAGTTGTTCCATTGAGAACATGATCCGTCTGTTTTTCGTGGCCCTGCATGACACGGCTTATAGCTTCATTGAATTACGCAAGCCCCTTTAACATGACAAGGTTGTGATCCCTAAAAGGTTGTGTCTTTATAGCTTGCATCAAATTTGGAATATTTATAAACATTATTTCTTTTGGGACTCTTAACTGCTGTTAGTTTGATATTGTCCCATAATTACTGACACACTGTTAGAGTTCTTTTCAGTCTTTTTATTTTTATTTTTTTAATGTGCTTCAGTTAGGACAAATTATGTTTCTGTCTTCAGAGTTAGTAATATTTTCTGCTTCAATATCTAATCTGCTGTTAATCCCACCTAGTGAGATTTTTATTTTTTATATCTGACCTCTAGAAGTGCTGTTTGGTTCTTCTTTATGTGTTAACATTTGTCTTACAATGTTAATGCTTTTCTTTGAGTATCTGAATATAATTATTATTTTTGTTTTAAAATTTTTATTTGCTAATTGCTCTATCTATGTCACGTCAGGTATATTTGTGTTAACTATTTTTTGTCCTGGTTTTGGTCACATTTTCCTGATTCTCAGCACTTTGTCACTAGATGCTGACCTTCTAAATGTCAATTATTGAGTGTTACACTTTGTTGTCTTCCTCTTTGTGGTGCTTTGTTCTGGCTTGAAAATTATTTGTGATTTAGTTTGATCCTTTCATGGCCTGTCTTTATGCTTTGTTAGGACAGTTCTAGAGTAACCTCTACTGTAGGGATAGTTTAGCCCTATTACCTGCAGAAGGCCTTTCGAGGATCTCATTTAAATGCACAACATGATCAACAAGGATTTGGTACCCTCGCTGCTCAGAACTTGAGTGCTTTCTAGCCCTGTATGAATTCTGTGGACTGTTCAGCTGTTAGGTTTTCAGTTACTTTTTGCCTGGAATGCATTTTAGAATTCAACTAGGAGTCAAAGTTTGCCTTGAAGTTTTGTTTTTTTGTTTTCTTTTTTCAGTAGTGCCTTCTCCTCCAGAACTGTACTGCACAACTTTCCAGCTGCCTCGGGTTCCCTGAACTCTGCTATATATCTTCATAACTCAGTGGGACTTGCATTCTTTGTTTGGGATCCACAGTCCACAATTTGCCTCTAGGCAAATTTGCCACAGTTTGTTGTGAGCAACAAGTGAGTTGCTCACCTCACTTGTTTTTTCTCTCTCTAGCTGTCTCTTGTCAGTATCCGAAAATAATTGTTTCATATAATCCATTCAGTTTTCTTATTGCTTATAGCAACTGGGTAAATCTGGTCCCTATTTAATCATGACTGGAAATAAATGATGGCTCCTTTAATTAAAAAAAAATTTACTTTGGAACAGTTTTGTATTTACAGAAAAGTTGTAAAGATACTAAGTAGAGCTCTGGTATCCAGTTTCTCCTGTTGTCAGCATCTTAATACAATTTTGTGGAACTTTTGTCAAAACTAAGAAACTGACATTGGCATAATACTGTTAAGTAAATATCTATAATTTTATTTAAAAAAAAACAGCCAACCATTTTCCAAAGTCGTGCATTCTCACAAACAATGAATGTATCATTTTGAGTAGAAGAAACAGCTTTATGAAAATCACTTAGGTTGGGATACCACCATTTTAGCTAATTTGAAATTACAAAAATTAAGTAAAGAAAAGGGACTTAAAATTGCCAAGCCTTTGATTACAGATGACTCATGATAACAATAATAACTATAACAATAACAGTGGTGTTCACTGAATTCTTTTCTAAGGGCTTTACATTTATTGATTCATTTAATCCTTACAATATCCTTATGTTCTTGATACTATTATCCTCTAGTTCCGTAGATTAAGAAAGTGAAAAGGTCACTGATTTTCCCCTGCTCACGTGGCTAATAAGGTACATGCTGTCTGGCTCCAGGATATCTACTCTCTGATCCACTCTGCCAGTGATGATTGTTTATCAGTTGCACATCAGAAAAACTTGAGATGGCCTTGGGCATCTATATTTTGAAGACCACTGGTGATTCTTATGTGTAGTCAGATTGAAAACATTCTAAACTACTGCTTCTTCATTATAATGTAGATAAATTTAGTGTGTTAAAAGATACTTTTTTATTTTAATGATAATAGTGAATAATTTAGTTCTTGTTTTGACTCAGACATTTTAAAGTCCTTTTATATAGGTAGAATGTTCAAACTACCACACAATTGCATTCATCTCACATGCTAGCAAAGTAATGCTCAAAATTCTCCAAGCCAGGCTTCAACAGTATATAAACCATGAACTTCCAGATGTTCAAGCTGTATTAGAAAAGGCAGAGGAACCAGAGATCAAATTGCCAACATCCATTGTATCATCAAAAAAGCAAGAGAGTTCCAGAAAAACATCTACTTCTGCTTTATTGACTATGCCAAAGCCTTTGAGTGTGTGGATCACAACAAACTGTGGAAAATTCTTAAGAGTTGGGAATACCAGACCACCTGACCTGCCTCCTGAAATCTGTATGCAGGTCAAGAAGCAACAGTTAAAACTGTACATGGAATAACAGACTGGTTCCAAATTGGGAAAGGAGTACATCAAGGCTATATATTGTCACCCTGCTTGTTTAACTTATATGCAGAGTACATCATGTGAAACACTGGGCTGGATGAAGCACAAGCTGGAATCAAGATTGCCGGGAGAAATATCAATAACCTCAGCTATGCAGATGACACCATCCTTACGGCAGAAAGTGAAGAAGAACTAAAGAGCCTCTTGATGAAAGTGAAAGAGAAGAGTGAAAAAGCTGGCTTAAAACTCAACATTCAGAAAACTAAGATCAGTGGAAACAGTGAGAGACTTTATTTTTGGGGGCTCCAAAATCATTGCGGATGATGACTGCAGCCATGAAATTAAAAGATGCTTGCTCCTTGGAAGAAAAGCTATGACCAACTCAGACAGCATATTAAAAAGCAGAGACATTACTTTACCAACAAATGTCCATATAGTCAAAGCTATGGTTTTTCCAGTAGTCATGTATGGATGTGAGAGTTGGACTATAAAGAAAGCTGAGCGCTGAAGAATTGATGCTTTTGAACTGTGGGGTTGGAGGAGACTCTTGATAGTCCCTTGAACTGCAAGGAGATTCAACCAGTCCATCCTAAAGGAAATCAGTCCTGAATATTCATTGGAAGGACTGATGCTGAAGCTGAAATTCCAATAGTTTGGCCGCCTGGTGCAAAGAACTAACTCATTGGAAAAGACCCTGATGCTGGGAAAGATTGAGGGCAGGAGGAGAAGGGAACGACAGAGGATGGGATGGTTGGATGGCATCACTCACTCAATGGACATGAGTTTCTGTAAGCTCCAGGAGTTGGTGATGGACAAGGAAACTTGGCATGCTGCAGTCCATGGGGTCACAGTCAGACATGACTGAGCGACTGAACTGAACTGAACAGATACAGGTAGAACTAGAACTGAAGCAAATATTTTGCGGATTACTGAAGAATCAGTTATCTCTTTGTTTTGGTGTCTAGGCACTCTGCCTTTTTAACACATGCAGGTGTGTGTTGATGTGTGTGTGTGTGTGTGTGTGTGTATATGTGTATACTTACTTACATATTGTTTTCTGGCATAAAGAATTTTTAGAGTAATCTAATTAAGTAGTTAGATATTGCTTCCTGAGAGTAATGTTTAAAGACTACTTACCTTAAAATATGGACACATTTTAAAAAATAAAATAGGGAATCATTTTGTGTGCACAAAGCAAGGAATAAAATGAATCATAGAATGGTTTAATTGGTTAAATTGTGTTAGGCCCAGAAGGTTAATACCCACACAAAATTGATTTAATCTAGCATATAGAAATCTTAAATTTATTAATTTTGTATCTTTCTTATTTTGTATAATAGACTTTTTAACATTTGATATTAGGATATAAACTATAGAAGACTAAATTCTGTTTCAAATATGTGAAGGTTTATTATGAGGTATAATAAGGTAGTTTTGAAAATCTAGTTCTCTGGTCTCAAAATCAGTGCTACAGATTTATTTTTAAAATTATTACTGTGTGATTTTCATTGGTCACTATTGTTGTGCTCTGAATAGTTGGCTGCTGACAATTGCATGAAGTCTCCACCAGAGAGTGCTAGAGATAATTCAGTGGGGAATGTTATTTACTTAGGCTTGCCTGGACTTGTCAGCGGGTTAGACCTTTTTTATTTTTAGGAAAGAGTTTGATTTCTTGTTTACAAAATTCTGCTTACTGTGAAATAAATTCTATATCTTGGCAGTTGAGTATTTCTACAGATATTGTAAATGATGAGTATTTAATCACTTCATTCTTGGTTCTCTAGCTGTCTTGAAGTATCTTTGATTTGATTATTTTGTGGCATTATCCTTTAAAAAACTAAAAGTTGTGTTTTCCTATACATAGTAGTTGTTGATTTTTCTTAACATTATTAGGTGTTTTGTTGAAAACCTGCATAACTTAAAATGAACTAGAGAAACTAGTAATGTGTTTTATGAGGTTAAGAAATAATTATTTATTGTGTATCTTTTTAAAATAGAAACTGAATTAGCAAATAGTTTTAATATTTGCATTTCTAGCATACAGTATTATTCTCAAAGTATTATTAATTATGTTGTGCTATGCATTTAGAATATGGTATGAAAGAAAGTCTGGCCCTTTTATTATATTCAGTAAATTTCTAAGTGAGCATTTTACAGGGTGATTATCTAGCAGAAGTACTAAGCGATAATAACTTTTTTTCCCTTCTTTTTTCTAGGTATCTTCACTCAAATAACATAGTTGTGGTTCCGGAAGGTAAATACACTTTCAGTTTTTACTAATAGTTAGGAGGTGCTAGAGTTAAAGCTGTGCTTTATCATAGTAGAACAGATTGTCTCTTTAAACCTATTTTGGTTGGAGTGTTAGAGAATTTTAATTATAAAGCATCATTATTAGTTTCAAAGCTTTTTTCTCCTCTAGTAAGTCTAGTTAACAGTTAAAATTAAATTTAATAAGTCTAAAATATTTATAATGGTTAGGTAAATTATTATCAGATAAATTGACATTGGGTAAATAATAAAATAACTTCTAAGTTTAATAAATTGAGTTAAGCATTTTGGTTAGATAAAAAAGACTTTATATATCATTTCATGAATTGTTTATTCAAGTAGTTTTTTACATTGTTTTAACATTTTTATTTGTCTTTTTAAAGTTTATAGTATATTGAGGTAGAAGTGTTACTTCGTAGAATGTTGTTTGATACTATACTGCAATAAAAATGTTTTAAAAAATTAATTTGATATATGCTTTTACTATTATGTCAGCACTAAAGATAGGGATATTAAATATTAAAATATTTAAACTTGGAGTAATTGCATTAAAAATTGGTCTTAACACTTGAGTCAAATTAATTTTGCTTTTACCCTTCTTTTCTCTTCAAAGCCATTGGGTCCCTTGTAAAACTACAATGTTTGGATCTTAGTGACAATGCCTTAGAAATCGTTTGCCCAGAAATTGGTCGTCTGAGAGCTTTACGTCATCTTCGATTAGCTAATAACCAACTGCAATTCCTACCTCCAGGTAATCACCGTCTGTAGCACAGAAGCTTCTTGTCTGTTGCAAAGCTATTTTTTATTAATATTTCTTACTTTGTGTCTAGGCAGTGGGCTTTGGGTGTACCTGTAAGTTTCTGATTGTCCGCTTGTTTGAGGAGGACGGTAAGGAATGTGGATGGGCTATGACTGAAAGCCTTTTCCCTGATGCAAATGCAGGAAGATGGCATTTATGTTTTTGAGCTGCAGTTACTACAGTTGTGCATTGCAGTCAGTGCCCGTTCAAAATCACTGCCCTGGTGAATTATTTGTACCAAAAGCTACTTTAGTTTTGAATTTCACGTAAGAGAATTTATATGAACTTTGCATTTTAGTGTCTGAAAGCAGATACATGCAGTGTTCTCTCATTCTTTAGTGAGGTAAATGATGTGCATTAACTTTGATTTAATGTGAATCATACTAGAATTTAGTAGCAGAATTTAAGTTTGAGTTCTCAAACTAATTGTCACTTCTGCCTACTGATCATCCTATTAGATTATGATGTACATATAGACAGTACCAAAATCCTGCCTTCTCCTGAACTACCATTAAATCCTTTGACTTTCTTACAAGGGATATTCAGAGACCTTTCTTTGTGAACCCGCACACTTGGAGATTCCTCTGTCTTATGTCATTTCCCATATTTGTAAAGCAGTGAAGTATGATTTTAAAAAATAGCTTGTGCTTCAGGTATTACATGAAAGTACTCTGCATTCAAAAATAAGCAGAAAAAAGAATGCAGACACCACTCACATTGACTGGGAGTATTTGTACCTACTAACTCTTGGTATTCCTGAGTCTTTTAGTGTATCCAAGTGAAATATATGACTCAATGAAAATTACAAATTACTGCCTGCCTTAGAACTTCAGGGATATATGAAGCTGTTAAAAACTACTCATGTTAAATCCATGAATGAATTTATAATTTAAAAAATACTTTCTCCAAAGTTTTTCAAGCACAGAAATTTCTAATTGAAACAGTAGTTGATTAATTTTTAGACTTTACATGCTGATTTTACTATATACATTCAATACTGTATACAAAAATGGTTTTAGTATAGCAGTTAACTCTCCTTAAAAAATATTTTTTAACCTCATTTAAAGTGTCTTACTTTTTACAACTCTGCTTAGTACAAAAATTTTTAATATGGTGTAGGAGTATGATCTTTGCTTTAAATTTTGTTGTATGTTATCAAACATACATGCTTCATCATGAAGCTTGATTTCATCAAGTTTATATATTTACATACTCAGGAAATTAGATTCTCTTTCAGAGATTGTATAGAAAATGTATCAGCAAAGATTTACTTTAGATTTTCAGAGTATTTTTATATATTAGCTTATATAAGATATATTATAGAGTCAAAATGCATGGATGTAATACTGAATATTTTAGATTTAATAGTATTTTCAAATATGAAATTCATAAAAGATATGTTATAGAATCACAATGCATGGATGTAATACTGAATATTTTAGATTTAATAGTATTTTCAAATATGAAATTCATGAAAGATATGTTATAGAATCAAAATGCATGGGTATAATACTGTGTTCATAAGTGCCTTTTTCTATACATTTAAAGAACTTAGGAGTAACACAGCTCTTTATTAAAACATTGTTCTTTGTGTTCTATTCTTCTGTTTTTTTCCTGTAATGTAAGAACATTTTGTGGTAAAATGTAGCCATTTCCTTTCATTATATACTCTCAGAGGTTAAGGGCGTACTAATAATGTCATTGACTGCTTCCTAATAATCAGTGGAGGGTATAGATTTCCTGGCTACCTTCATGTAATTTTAAATTTATATCTCACCTATTTCATAATAGATTTGAAGCATTTACTTCTGATTTTATCTCCCTAGCTTATTTCTGTTGCTTGTATTTGTTTTTGCTTGTTTTGAGTACAATGACATAAGTAGTTATCTATGTATTTTGAGTAGAAACTTTTGATTAAGCTATGTATATACTTTTTTTTTTTTCTGGGCCATCATAAGTACAATGCTCTAGATCTTACTAATTTTTTAGTTCACTTTACGTATGTCTTTATGACGTAATTTCAGTGTTATGATTTGAATGGGAGAGGGGCTTGGGTAAACATCTACCAAGTGTACCCAATCATTAGGGACATACTATGGAAAAATATTTTAACTGTAGTAAAAAATGTGAGGAATTGCCAGTTGGTGTCCATTTGATGACGGTAGACTCCAGTTGATACATTAGCCTCTTCTATTAATACATATTCCATGCTATTGGTATAGTCTTACATGTTGTATATCTGTGAAAGACTTAATATTTTATTATGTGTATTTTTTTGTAGTTAAAAAACCTTTGGATATGGTTTCACATTCAGTATTTAAAATTTGAAAATTTGAGAGCAGTATTTGAAACATTTAAAATATCTAAATGGCTGATAGTTTTAAAATTAGGATCTAAGAATGGATTACAGGGGCTTTGTGAATGCCCTCAAATTGTATGAACAGTTTGGTGTTTGTGAGTATGTACGTATTGCTGTAAAGAAGGTCCAATGTGTTTATGAATTTCTCAAAGAGGTCCATGGCTCATATAGTTGATTCTCTTGGATTGTTTGTCAGTACCCATTCTTTGGTAATGTCCCTTCCCCCCCTTTTGTTGAATTGCAGAGTACTGCCATTTTTCTACCTTGTATGTTGCTTTCTCCCCACAGTTCATTGATCCTGGTGTAGGTAACTCAAGCAAGACCAGTTCTCTTCCTGGGCATTTTGAAAGAGACTGTAGGGGAGAAGCAAAGAGAACAAGAGAAAATGGGAGGGTGAAAAAGGAAAATCAGGCACTCTTTTCTCTCTGGGCTTCTACACAGTGCTATGTAATCTTGTGAAATCTGGTAGTAGTCATGTGGGCAGGAAAACAAAGAGAGAAAGATGAAGTAGATACCTCGAATAAGATGGAGTCAGAGGCTTTCTAAGTTTTCTGTAATTTCCTAATCATTGATTCTGTTTTTAAGGCCCATGAAGTGAAGTGTTAGTTGCTCAGTTGAGTCTGACTCTTTGTGACCCCTTGGTCTGTTCATGGAGTTCTCCAGGCAAGAATACTGAAGTTGGTTGACGTTCCCTTCTCCAGGAGATATTCTGGACCCAGGGATCAAAGCCGGGTCTCCTGCATTGCAGGCAGATTCTTTACCGTCTGAGCTACCAGGGAAGCCGCATTTAGGCCCATAGACTGTGCTTAAGCTAGCTCTAATTGGCTTCTGTGAATTGCCACTCAAAGAACTCCATGTAAAATGGCAACCTCAAAGCCTTGATTTTTGTTTATTTTGCATAAGTAAAAATTGTATATATTTAAAATAGACAGTGTTATATTTTGACATATGTATATATTGTGAAATGATTACTACAGTCAAGCTAATTAACGTACTTGTCACCTCTCAGTTACCATTTGTGTGTGTGTGTGTGTGTGGTTCGAACACTTGAGATCTACTCTCTTAGCAAACTCAAATACATAATACGTTATTATTCAGTTATCTTTTAAAAAACCTTTTTTTATGGTAAATTTTAAGCAGAATAGAATAATAAGCCCTATATACCCAGTACATAACTTTAACAATTTATCATGGATTTATCCTCTCTTATATTTTTCTTTTGTTCTTCTTATTTTTATCCTCTTTCTTAAAGTTTTTTTTTTTTTAATTAGGGTAAAATTGACATACAGTGAAATGCTCAAGTGATTAGTCCTGAGTTTTGACAAATGTATGTACTCATGTAACCAGCATCTTATTTGAGATACAGAACATTTCCATTACTCCAGAAGGTTCTCTTACACGATTTCCAGCTGATCTGTTTGCTATAGGCAAACTCTATTCTGATTTCTCTTGCTATAGGTTAATTTCGTCTGTTGTTGAAAATGAAATAAATGGGAACGTGCAGTTCTCTGTTGACTTTCACTCAAAATAAAGGTTTCAGGATGCATCCATGCTGTTGTATGTGTCAGTAGTTCATTATCTTTTTTCTGCAGAGTAGAATTCCATTGTATAAACTGCACTTTATAACTTATTTTCTTCTTAATGGACATGTCAGTTTTTTTCTCACTTTGGGCTATTATCAATAAAACTAATATGCATTCATGTATGTTAAGTTGCTTCAGTCGTGTCCAAGTCTGACTCTTGGCAACCGTGTGGACCATAACTGGCCAGGCTCCTCTGTCCATGGGGTTCTCCAGGCAAGAAGACTGGAGTGGGTTGCCATGCCCCCCTCCAGGGCATCTTCCCGACCCAGGGATCAAACCCACGTCTCTTACATCTCCTGCACTGGCAGGCGGCTTCTTTACCACTAACACCACCCGAATCCCTATAGACATTCTTGTATAAGACTTTTTATGGATTTACATTTTCATTTCTCTTGGGTAAATATCTTTTAGGGGAAATGTGATACATAATGTAGATATATGTTTAACTTTGTAAGAAATTGCCCAGCAGTTTTTTTTTAATTTTTTAAAAAATTATTTATTTTATTTATTGTAATTACTGTATTGTGGTGGTTTTTGCCATACATGGACATGAATCAGCCACGGGTGTCCATGTGTCCCTACATCCTTACCCTCCCTCCCCATCCCATCCCTCGGTTGTCCCAGTGCACCGGCTTTGAGTGCCCTGCCTCATGCGTCAAACTTGAACTGGTCATCTATTTCACATATGGTAACATACATGGTTCAGTGCTTTTTTCTCATATCATCCCACCCTCGCTGCCTTCTTCCACATCATCTCATCTCCGCCTTCTCCCACAGAGTCCAAAAGTTTGTTCTACAAATCTGTGTCTCTTTTGCTGTCTCGCATATAGGGTTGTCGTTACCATCTTCCTAAATTCCATATATATGCGTTAATATACTGTGTTGGTGTTTTTCTTTCTGACTTACTTCACTCTGTATAATAGGCTCCAGTTTCATCCACCTCATTAGAACTGATTCAAATGCATTCTTTTTAATAGCTGAGTGGTATTCCATTGTGTATATGCACTACA